CAGTCAGGATGGGGCGGGAAAATGATGTCTATTGAAAATCAAATTGGCAATGAGCGTATGATAGCCAATCTGATCTTGCCTCACCCCTATTTTCATCTCTAATTTTAATTTCCTAATTTCTTACCAACGAATTTATGTGTGGTTTAATACGTAACATTGAATTACGTATGGAACAAATATATTTCCAACACTAGCATATAATAGTAACAAATTGCGTAACTTAGTCCGACAAGAGATTAAATTTTTTTACTTAATAGTAAACGGCATAATTACAAAATCTATAACATAGATTTTATAACTAAAATGCATAACAATTTGGATGACCAAAATGGAATTGCACCCTTGATTTCTATAAAATCCAATTTATCTTTACAATGAGGTTGTTGAGTCTTCTTCATATTCCTATATAATTTCCTTGGTATGGGTACAAAGAAATCCCATCAATAGAATAGCATATCAACCATGACTAGGAAGAAGGTCAAACTAGCATGGATAACGAATGATAGTGCTAGGAAAACCAGCTTCAGAAAAAGGAAGGAAGGCCTGTTGAAAAAATTGAGTGAGTTGAGCATCTTGTGTGACGTGAGTGGCTTTGCCATTATTTATGGCCCAGACGACAAGGAGCCGGTTGTGTGGCCTTCACGCCCAATTGCGGAAGAATTGCTCGCAAGGTTTCAGAGGATACCAGAAGTAGATCGGTGCAAGAAGATGATGAACCAAGAGACATACCTTAATGATAGATTAGCTAAATTGAAAGAACAACTGACAAAAACTCACAGAAAGAACAAAGAGATGGAGATGAACATCATCATGTCCCAAATTCAAGAAGGTAAGCCATTGAATGAATTTGGAACTTGTGAACTAACTGGTTTGTTTTTGTTTTTGGAGGAGAAGATAAAAGAGATCTGGAAACGGATCAAGTACCTCGGGCATGAGGCAAATCTTCCCTTAGGTGCTTTTTCTCCTCATGAGGGTGGGGATGCGGAAAACACCACTGTCCCCGATGATTGGAACCCTACAGAGTCTTTGTATAATTATTTTAGCAAAGAAAAGGGGAAGCAAAGTCAGAACATGTCTATTGTTACTGCTAGCAGCAGCAATGTTATGGGTAACATGGGTTTGCCACCACATGCATCTTTTGGCAGCACTTCTGGTATTAATGTTTCTAAAGAGATGAGGCTGCTTAGTGAGAACTTTGGAATGAGTAGATCAAGTGATATAGGGTTTATGTATGGAAATATTAAGGGTGA